ACTAGTTTGCAGACCAACAATAGGAAAGGAAAGTCTGCATGATGAGAGCAATGCCACTGGAACACGTCTTATAGACTTCGCTGCAGGAAAAAGGAATGACAATCAGTAGCACAAAATTCCAACAAAAAATAATAATAATAATAATAAATACATAAAGCGACATGGATGTCTCCAGATGGATTTACCAGTAATCAAATTGACCACTTACTCATTGATCGGAGGCATGGCTCGGACATATTAGATGTACAAAGTTGTAGAGGGGCGGGCATAGACTCAGACCACATACTTGTAAGAATAAAATATTGTAACATCCACAATAAACAAAATAAACACAATAAAAGAGAAAAACAGTACAACAGCCAGAAATTAAGCAGGGACCCAAAAACTACCGAGGAATATCAACAGAAGATTAAACTCAACTAGAATTATCCAAAAGGGAATCAGCCAGCAAGGTTAATATAAACGAGCAGTGGGAAAAGATGAAGCAAATACTCTACTGCTCTCTCTGATCAATTCTCCACCCGTACTTTCACACACGTGGGATCTTGCTTGGAAGCCATTCTTTTCCTTCTTTATTTTCAGGTACATTCCCCTCACATCTCTTTCTTTTTCCAACTCTTCTATCTCTACTATTTTTTATTTTTCTCAAACACGTTTTTTCTTTCAGCAAATTTTGCTGGCCACCCTTCATGTTTCATTAAATAATTGCCGTGTTCTCCTTGTCTCCCTTTGCAGCATCATTATCCAAGCTTTGTTTGTTCTATAAGTTCTTTGCATTCTGCGTAATACCACCCTGTTCTTTTCAGTCTAGGTTCAAATCCAATCGTTTCTTCTGCTACAGCCTTAACACTTTCGGGCATTCGACTTTTGCTGACTCAGCAATAAAAAAAAATATATTAAAAAAAATTAAAAAAAAAAAAAACTTAAAAGATGAAATTTTCGATATATTTCATTCTCTATCCGATTCGCTTTTTAACTTCTCTATTAGATTAACTAATAAGGAAATAGATAGCATGGAAATTTGACGTCGACGTGACGTCCTTGATATTTCAGAAAAGACTTTTTGTTATGACGACAATGTGACGTCCTTGGTCATTGAAAGTGGGGGATCGTGACGTCGCTGTGATGAAACGGTAGCTACATCTTTATGCTTTTACTGCATCTGTTGCTGGTTGTGGGCCAGAAGTGCAAAGCCATCGGCAAAGTCTAGGTCATTCGGTTGTTGCAAGGGTTTCCACTGTATTCCATTCCTCTTTTTGTCTGTGGATTTTTTTCATTATCCAGTCAATGGCAATGACCAATAGGAAGGGGGAAAGATACATACTTTTCTTACTCCTTTTTACGCTTCAAAGGCATCTATATTCGTGTACCACCAAGCATGTCATTTCTTCATAAGAACTCTGAATGATTCTGACTAGCTTTCCTGGTACCCCCATAGTGCCGGAGAAGTTTCCAAAAGGTTTGTTGGCCAACGCTATCAAATGCCTTTTCGTAGTCTATAAAAGTTAAATATATGGGGAGTTCCTTTCCATTGATACTTCTACAATTATTCGTAGCGTTGCAATTTGATATATGCATGATCTGTTTCGGCGGAGCCAGCCTGCTTATTTCGTAGCTGTGTGTTGACTTGGTCTTTCATTCTGTTCAAAATAAGTATGTTAAAGACCCTTCCTGGTACATACCGCAATATAATTTCTCTGTAGTTTGCACAGTTGCTGAGATCCCCTTTCTTTGGTATCTTGATGAGGTATCCTTCTTTCCAGTTTTTTGGAACTCTCTTCTTTCCATATATTTTCAAATTGAGGGTGCAGCATGTTGACTATTGAATCTGTATCTTCTCTCATCATCTCTGTTGTGATGTAATTCGATCCCGATGCTTTCCTTATTTTGAGCTGTTCCATAGACTAGGCTATTTCTTCCTTATTCGGGGCACTTTCTTCTATTTGTAAGTCTTCATTTGCTGGTTGTATGTCTGTTGTGTATGTGGGTGGAGGTCTGTTTAGTTATTACTTAAAGTATTCCACCCATCTTTTTTGTTGTTCTTTCCGTTCCGTTATTGATTTACCTTCCTTATCTTTAAGTGGTCTATCTGGCCTCTTTATTTTCCTGAGAGCTTTCTTGCTATGTCATAGAGCTCTTTTATATTTCCCTTTCTGTCTGCTTCTTCTGCTGCTGATGCTAGACCATCTAAGTAAGCATTTTTATGCTGATTTTTCCCATTCGATTTGCTTCTTTACATTTCATTGTACTTTTATTTTCTGCGCCATGGTGCGGCTGTTGTTAACTACACTCTTTGTTTCTTTCTCTAGTTGTTTTTCTTCTTTTTGCATCATATTGAATGAGAGCCAATCTGTGTGTTTTCGCTTCAGCTTCACCGGTGATCCCAAAACTAGTTGCAAGTGGATGCTACATTCATCTTTATTTTTTCCCATTTATGTTCTATCTGGTCATCATCTGTTTGGTCTTGTAGTCCTGGAACTTATTTCTCAAGGTAGCACTGAATTCCTCTCGTTTCTGCTCGTTTGCCTGAATTACTATGTTTAATTTTATTAGTTTAGCACTGGCTCTTCCCAGTTTTTCTTCAGTTTTAGCTAGAGTCTTGCCCAAACTAGATGGTGCTCAGATGCAACAATAGCTCCTCTTTTTGCTCGTACATCTTGTAAATACATTCAAAATCTCTACCCACATATAATCGATTATAGTTAATTGTTAAAATGTATGATTATGGCAAGGTCAAGGGTTAGGATGGGATAACTATGACTCATTATTAATAATTAAATAGTATTAAGTGTGTAAATAATGAAACTGCTAATGCAAAATGTATTTTCTTAGAAAGGAGTAACGCTTACTACTGCTATAATTTATAATTTATTTTATTTTGAGATACAATTTAGCACTTTTGGGGTCGGACTCCTTAAGTGCGGCCTTCCTTAAGAGGTGTAACTGTTGACAAAAACCCATGTTTTGCAGAAATAAACGCTTCAAAGTTTTTACATTAAAAGCTCAATGAATCTTTAATCTTAAACTAAATTTATATATTTTAGAATATTTTTTATATTATATTTATGATTATTAATCTAATGATTATTTGACAATAAATTGAATATAGGTCTTTTGTTTTATATTTTATGTCAAATTAAAATTTAAAGAAAACAAATGTGTGTGTAGAATCATTTTTCAGTATGAAATTTAATTCAAGTTTTTTAAATAGTGAACATTTATTTAAAATGATAGGCCTAAACTTAGGCTCCAACCCTGAAATCGGGTATAATAAGGTATATGTATTTTTCCAAAACAAAATAAATTATTTTTGATTTATCTCGGAAATAAATTATGACCGCAGACTTAATGAAGTTGCCGGAAGTAACTAGTGGCGATGTTCCGTGAAATACGACTTCAATCAGAGATTTTTTTTTTTTAAAATTACCCTATTTATTTTTATTATTTTTATAATTATTTATTTATTTTACTTGTTAGTGTGACCCGCGCTCAAAATTAATAACAAAAAAAAATCAAGAAGAATGTGCGTTCGTGTCTTTGCACGTTATATATTTTTAATTAAACAAAAATATGACATATTGTAGATTCCATGCTTCCTGATTTAAAAAAATAGGTCTGCTATTTAAAAACTAAAATTTTAATAGGACTTCCTATCTACATTTTAACATTTAAATGTTATTTCACGCTTTTCAATTGAGTTCGAGCAAAAGTCTTAGCTTTAGTGAATTTAGGCCTAATGACACAGTCGTTGCGTGACTTTGGAGGCCCTATGCCACTTTTCTGTTTTGTGACCACTTTATTCAAAGTTGATAGTACACTCTTTTTTTCTTCTTCTTCTTTTTTTTTTTCATATTACAGCTTCGAACCCCATAAATATCCGAGGCCCCACGCGACGGCTGTGAACACTATTAGTTTATAATATATTTAATTTTTTAACAAACAAAACACACACACACACAGAAAAGCTTTTTTTTTAAAGTGATCTGAAAAACAATAACAGTATGTAACTAAAACAAAATTTTAAATATCAATTCACATTTTGTAGCGTATAATTACAGCAGTTCCGCATGCGCTTTAAAAAAAAATAGAAAATAAACTTGAACTTATTAGAGTCTTGAGTGTGTTGACTTTTATTTTTAATTTTTTTTTTTTTAAATATCGTAGGCTTATGACCTTTTCTTATTTTAAGGCATCTGTTAGGATAGTTGTCTTTTAATCAGTTTATAAAGTCATATCTTTCTCTAGATAAATTCAATAACTAAAATATCAGTGCCTAATTAAAATGGTCTGAAAAGTGGATGGTCGTAGACGTCGTAGCCTGCAGAGCTTGACAATTATTTATTTTCAGTAAAAATAACAGGGTCTATTGTGTCATACCGTAGACGTAACATAAATATGTCTTGAAGATTTGATGGTCTCTCAAAATTTGTTTTATATACATAAAAACATTTTTTTCTATCAACTGGATTAATTCAATCCTAAACTATGTAACTGTATCTTTAAAATTTAAGGAGACCAGGCGTCAATGAATGCTAATACAATACTTCAAGACTCAACTGACTGTTCCACACTTCTATTGCTGCCCACAGATACTACTTACCAGCTAAGTGCTATTTCTTATTTTTATAACGTTTTTTCTGTTGTTTTGTTCGCTGACGAAGGCTTTCTGCCGACACGTTCGCTGTTTTGTTACGTTTAATTTTTCAGGTTTAACCATACTCTGTTTTACTCATTTTATTTTGTACTAACCTGATTGCAGTCTCTCCCCTTATTACCCCTGACTGTTCAGCGGGGCTTTCGTAATGAATATTTGATTTGAAGTGCTAAATTGGAGATTTGTATAATGCATTAGCTTGATATCCATAAAGAAATTTTACTAAGCAAGAATATTTTTTTTATTTGTAATTTTCTTAATAAAATTATATAATAATATTGAGATAGCCAACTTAAAATGGGTCATTCTCTCGATCTGGGCACGGGGATATCCCAGAATTCCTTTTATCGATGGAACGGAAGTGAAAGACCCAGGGGATTCCCTTTCACTCGTTTTCAATGGGGTGAAAAATTGAGCTTTGTTCGAAATTCTATTATTGAATTTAATGTCAAAACATTTTTAGAGATATATACCCCATTCAAATGCAATGCTAATTAAGCGCTCAAGTTTCCTGCACGTACATTAATGAAACAAAGAAATTTGAGCTAAAACGAATCGATCTCTCGGCGGAGCTTGTTTCTGCCCTCCTCGCACCGACTCGTAGTAAGGTTAGTTTTGTTTCTTTTTTTAGCTGCTAAAACGCTATGCTATTTAGTTCATTATGAAGATTATCACGCATTGACAACCTGACACTGTGGTTCGCGTCCCAGGTGAATCTTCTTGTTTTAATATTCATAATCAGTGGTGCTAATAACTAATAATAGGCTTGACCGACAACTTGCAATGAAGCAAGCAAAGTCACTAAAATATAAATTTTCAAGATTGACTAACAGGACTGGAAGTGATCCTGACCGGTGATGCTCATATTTAATTTGGATTTGAGTAACTATGTAATGTAGTATGTATTTGTATTGACATTGACAGTGTTGGCCACGATTTTCCTATATAGGGCTTGCTGTCAAAGAAATAACAAACCCCAAGATTGTCTAGATTTCATTGACAATTACAAGCAATCTAAAAAATGTAGGAATAATTTTTGTGAACCTAATTATACTTAATAGTTAATAGTTAATAGGTTTTGTGCATACACTGTATAATATAACTAAGCCTTTTATAGGTTATCATTTTTATTATTCCTCTGCCTATATGATAAATGAAAATTATGTACTGCTTTAGAGTTTTCAAAAAATGTTAGTGGTATTTCAGTCACATCCCACCATCTACCATTTTGATTATTGTTGTGAATATCGCATCTTAAACTATTAAGCCATTGGCATGGCCATGAAACATAAAGGGCCAAAATAAAGCAAAATGTCTATGCCTATACAGAGTCACCCTTAAAATTTGAAAGTTTTCATTATCAAATTGAAAGCTGACTTTTTTTTTATTACTGTTAGTAATTGGAAAATAAATATGGCATGGGCCTAATTGTTAGGCTCATATAGGCATATATGTATTAAACTAATAATATTTTAGGCTTATATAAATATAGGCTTTTCTACTTTAAAAATAATTTTAATGTACATCAAGTTGAGGTGTTATATTTAAACTACACCCTCATTAATTTGTTTTACTTGAATTTTAAAAGTAATATATTTTTTCTTGCAGTTTTTAGTTTTATTAAAAAATACCCTATTAGTGTAAAAAGTTGGGAGTTACACAATTTTTTCTACACCAAATTGTAAAAACTTCAGGGTCTGCTATATTAAATAAAGTATAAATATTTGCTAATTCATTCTTCATGAAGAAATCTTTAAAATATTATTTTTATAAACGCAGGCTTCAACTCAACCTTTTTTTTTAAAAAAAATCTATTCTAATTTGTTTTAAAGTTTTATTTTATCCCATCATCGCTGTAAAAATAGTAAAAGTGAATAGTAATGTTTTATATTTTTCTTTCAAGGATTTATGGGAGATTGGCTATCCATGATTGGACCTTGTAGCAATGTCAAAGATATTAAATTGCAAGATAGCCATTAGGAATCATTGTTGTCCTCAGCTCTTTATTGGGGACAATTGGGGTAAAATTAATAGTTCCACAATGTTCCCATCTAGAAGTATAAAGCTGGCCCAAAGATAATGGTGGATTGTCACTGATTTACATGCATAATTTTGGATGATTATTGACTGTTTTGAAAATTCTCCTTTAAAATATAATTTTTCAAATAATAATCGGCTTAATAACTGCTGTATTTTCAGTTCTTTCATTGAAGATCATTTTTGGAGTTCTAACAAATAGTGCTTGATGGAGAAGGTGGCTGGTTTGGTTGACCCCGGAGGAGGGACTGAATCCCTGACTGGGGATTTAATCCCTGACTCTCTTGAATCATTTCTTAGTGAACAGAAAGAAAAACCAACAGAGTTAAAAATGATTGACAGTGATATTCTAGCCTTGGCCAATCAAGTGGGAGATGAACTTGAGGACAACTCAGTCGACGGAGCCAGCTTGGGAACCGATCTGTCCTTTTTAGAAGGAGCTGAAGCAAAGGAGGCTAGTGGGGATGAAGATGATCCTGCACTTGATTTTCTTGTTGGGGAAGGAAAAATGGAAGTGGACACTGAAGATTTAGCTTTTTTGGAGGAACAAGAGATGTCAGAAGGAGAAAGTTACACAGATGAAGATGAGACTGAATGTGAAAATGAATCAGAAGCCGAAAATGAGTCTGTAGAGGAGGAAGGTGAAGAGGAAGGAGATGATGATGCAACAGAGGAGGGAGAAAATAGTGAGGAGGAAGAGGGCAAGAAAACAGATGTTGAAGAAGATGGTGTGTTTGGGCAAGTTTCATTCTATGATGAAGAATCTGCCTCTAGTAATTCTATAGATGTTCAGAAGAAGAAAAAGAAAGCAGAGAAGGCGACGAAAACAAAGAAATTAAAAGGCAAAAAGCGTAAAGCTAGTAAAATGGCAGAGAAAGATAAGAAATCTAAAAAGAAACGTAGACGAAAGAGGAAGAAGTCTAAGGATGAAGATGATGATGATGATGAGCCAGATGATAAGCTTCTCAAATCAGGAGCTACACTAATGAGGCGTAAAAATATCAGGTACTTAATAATTTATGTCTTTATTTAGGTTAATCGTGAATATCAATTTATAGGGATAAGTACTTTCTCCTTTCACTGCTTAAGAGTCAAACTTTACCCTCTTTAAAAAAAAATGTAATTGTCAAGAAATATTTCTTTGATGAATGGGATAATTATGTTAAGTTCAATTTTTAAATTATTTGATACAAGCAGTCCTCATGTTTGGAGTTTATTTATGATACATATTTTGGGGTGGGGGGTGTGTCGAATTATTGAAAGCACACTACTTATTTTAAAATTCAATGTTGTTTTTTTGTTGTTGTTTTTTTATAGTGAAAACATTGAATACAAGTTGTTTGATTCTCTGTTGATAAATGTTAAATTAAAAAGCTCAAGTGAAAAAATATTTATAATTGTACTGATTATCTGGAAGAATAACCCTTGAATTTAAGAATACTTTGCTGCAGCATCATTTTTTATTTTTTTACATACTTGTTAATATTTTTAAAAGTTTAATTAGTGAATTGGAAATTTGAAAGATATCGCATTTCTTCCCAGCAAAAAAAAAAAAGTAATACCTATTTTCATTCTACCGGACATGATGAATTACATATTTATAAATTAAAAAATTTCTTGGTAATTCAGATCTATTTTGAAAGAAAAGGATTTGGACAAAGACATGCTTTCAGCTCAAAATGAAGAGCTCGAGCGTCAAAAACGTCTTATGGAACTTAAGAAATCATTGTTACGAGAGAATGCTGCAGCTGGAGCTGCTGCAGCTGCATCAAAGGCGGCTGCATCTAAGGCAGCAGCTGTTGCAGCAGCGGCGGCAGCATCATCAGCAAGCACCTCCACATCTACTTCAACCAAAACTGCAACAGCATCAACTGGTACTTCTACTCCAAAGGAAAAGGACTCTCAGCTGAAATCACTTCTTCAAGGTTAGAATTTTGAGACCTTTAGGTTCTATCTCTAGAAAGCTATTTAATTAGCGTAAAAAGATGTAGAAGTAACTGTTTGTGAAAATTGATAGATATATTTGTAATGTCTTTAGAACCTTGTTCTTTTCATTATTTGATGTTGTTAATATTATTTTAGTTGCGGAGGAAGAAGCTGAGAAAGAGGCAGAAAGTAAAGAAAGGAAAAATTTAGACAAAGAAGTTGTGAAAATCAAGAAGGAAACCAGGGAAACTTCACCCCCATCAGGTTTGTTAGTTATCCTGCTGGCATCGTTTTCTTTTTATAATGAAAGTATTAATCTTCAAAGTTTTAAATCGAGATGGGCTCTGCTGTCTCCGATATTAGTGATATTATTTGAGCGTTTTAGACATCAGCATGCATTTTTTTTTTCCTCATAGATGTAATCACCTTAAGTAGTGACTCGGATGATACAGATGACTATGATGATGAAGATTCTGATGAGGTTGTTATGGTGCCCAGTGATGAAGAGGAGGATGACGAAGGGCCAGAGGATGTCAATAATGGAGGAGCCCATATAGATGATACTCTTAACCTGCCTGACCCTGATGGTAGGGTAAAGGTCAATGTAGGCCACCCACCTGATGACCCTGACATTTATCTTGCACCTCAAATTGCCCAAGCAATTAAACCTCATCAGGTCAGAAAATTTTTCATTTAAACATAGTTGTTTTTTAAAAATAAGTATTAAATAAACTCTTATCTAAAATTTAAAAAAAAATATTACAAAACACCTTGTTACACCTGTCCCACTAATTCCCCTAAAAAAATTCCAATGAGGTCTGCTCTTTTTTCTGTTACTTTTGAGAAATTCTCAAATTATATGTCCTTCTTAATTCTTGACAGATTGGTGGTGTTCGTTTTTTGTATGACAACATGGTAGAATCATTGGAAAGGTTTAGAACGACACCAGGATTTGGGTGTATTTTAGCTCACAGCATGGGTCTTGGGAAAACTATACAGGTTGACTTTTAATTTCCTAAATATTTAATATATTTTTTTACTATGTCTATACATTTCTTAAAGTATATACTAATAGAAAGTTATGGTGGGAGTAATATTAATATGACATACGATATTAGTTTCAACTTATTTTGCTTGCTTCTTTTTATTATTAATTAAACTTATGCAAATAAAATTATATTCCACAGCTGATTTCATTTATTGATATATTTATACGCTGCACTGGAGGCAAACTAGTCCTTTGTATAGTGCCCATCAATACACTACAGAACTGGTTAGCTGAGTTCAACTATTGGTTGCCACCAAAGGAGAAACTCCACCCAGACGACCATCTTACTCAAAGCAGAACTTTCCCCATACACATCATTAATGATGGCATGAAAACAACTGCAGCTAGAGCCGCAGTTATAGGTGAGTCCTATTCACAGCTTGTAAATTGAAAAAAAATAAATTTGCGCTTAAATATGTATCTTTCTTGAGAAGTTATGATTTTAGAAATGTTATTTTTACTACATTAATTTAACTTACTTTTAGTTTGTTTCTTTAACATATAAAACTATTTATTCATGGTATGATTTCATATCTAGGAAAATGGAAAGACCATGGCGGGGTTTTGCTAATGGGTTACGAAATGTTCCGCCTCTTGTCATCCAAGAAAGTGGCTCCCACCAAAGCAAAGAGCCGGTCCAAGAAACCTGCCCAACCTGAGGTCATTGATGTGGAAGAGGAGGATAAAAATAAAAGTCTTATGATTGGTCAGAGAATGTTTCCTGTTTTTTTTTTTTTTTTTGGTTTTTTAATTATTATTTTAACAAGCAGAACAAAAATTCAGGTTTTTGGGGGAAATCATATTGTTTTTTTTTTTATTATATTAAATAAATACTTGCTCAAAAACTTGTTTCCAAGACTGAAATTATGACCATTAAACAAAGAACATTTGAAATTGTAACAGTTTGATGATATTATCTCCTGTGATATTAAATTGCATAGTGCACAATTTTATTTTAGATTTTATCACTAAAGTGGTTCAATTATTTTTTTAAAATTTGCATTATTTTAATGGTGTGCTTCACAGACATGCATGGTGTCTTAGTTGATCCTGGCCCAGACTTGGTTGTGTGTGACGAAGGTCATCGTATTAAAAACAGTAGTGCTGCCATCTCTCAAGCTCTAAAAGCCATTAAAACTAGGTATTTTATTATCACATATTTTTACAAGTTTATACCCTTTTTTTACTGTTACATTTTAATGTTGTACATGTGTGTATTTACAAAAAAACACAACTTTATTGGAAAAAAGGTTTGATAATGATGGGAATACTGTGGGGAAAAAATCTTATCATAATGAAAAATGACTTGTTTATCTACCTATTAATAAATCCTAATTCAAATAGACTATAATTAACTTGAATTATTTCAGACGGAGAGTTGTACTGACTGGTTACCCTTTACAAAACAACTTAATGGAATATTGGTGTATGGTGGACTTTGTGAGGCCAAACTTTCTTGGTACGAAGACTGAGTTCAGTAATATGTTTGAGCGGCCCATTATGAATGGGCAATGTATGGATAGTACAACATCTGACAAGAAAATCATGAGGCATCGATCATATGTTTTACATAATCTGCTTGAGGGGTTTGTGCAAAGGTGAGTGTATATAAATTCTTCATCACCTAAATTTATATCAGTTTATACTTGTCTTTTTCCCTCTTGGATAAAAAGAGGGTAATTGAAAGTAAAAAAAGTGCTCGAAATGTGTGTGTTCATTAAAGCTGCATACCGAGATCTTTACATTGTAAGATAATATAAAATATTTATTCTTACACCTAACTAGATTAAATTTCTTTAAATGAAATTGAAAGTTCCTTCATGTTTTATTTTATAATTAATTACCTTTTATACTTCTGTATTCTCATCAGATTTGTCTTGACATTTTCCCCTCTAAACCCGTATTTCCCAACATAATCAATACTCTGCACCCTTTATAAATTATTTGACAAATCTGGCACCCCTCATAAAATTAAAAAAAATTTTAAATGCATTTTTATTGAATTCCGTATTTGATAACTTTAAAATGCAAACAAATACGGAATTCTAATTTACTTTGCAATGATAATTGGAGAAATTAGAAAATAAACTTTTGAATTAAAAATAAAGGAAAAATTAAATTAAGAAATGTTTAAAAATATATATAAACATTTATATCATAGCTTGAAAGTTATTGACTCCTCAGTTCTTATAATTCCCTTTCCTCGCATTCCCAAAGTTGGACATCCATAAATGGCTTTGAGGGGGGTGGGGTGTCACAAATTTGTGACTATATATATATTATGAGGTGTCTTAAATTGTGTGAAAAATTTGTGATGATGGGGGGTTGGGGTGGTGTCAAAAATCAGAACTTTGTGAAACCCTGCACTCTTAACGTAACCGGATGTCTTTTTACAATTTATTTTTTCTTGATTTGCCTTGTGATGCTGAGAATATCATGAAGGCTGTTAACAAGTGTAGAGATCTTAGTCTTAGAGGATTCTTGATAAGAAAAATGATTTGGCAACTTGAAATCAAAATACAATGGGTATATTCTTTTAATTTTTCTTTTAAATCCTGGTTTTATTCATGCAGACGTGGTCATACTGTTCTGCAGTTGAGCTTGCCTCCAAAAACAGAACATGTTTTTCTGGTTCGTTTGAGTGCTTTTCAACGAAAGATATATGTTGAATTTATGAACGCCATATCAGAGTCTGGACTATGTTCATGGGCCAACAATAACCCACTGAAAGCATTCGCTGTCTGTTGTAAAGTAAGTGAAAAACTTACAATAATTCATATGGATGTGTTTGTTAATTAATTTTACACAACATTGTTGACAATCCCATATTTTTTATTCAGCATTTTGAATCTCTGGATGAGAAGAAATTCATCTCTATATTTTGGGGGTTAATGCAACATTTCTAATATTCTTAAAATAATCTGATGTCTTTTTTTTTATATTTCAGATCTGGAACCATCCTGATATTCTCCATGATGTTTTAACCCAGCATATAGCAGACAAAGACAATGACCTGGACATTGACACAGGTGAAGGAGGCACTAGCAAAAAGAAGAAAAACATCTCCAAATCTGCATCTACAGCATCATTAGCATCTGCAGATTCAACTTCTGCATCTCTCACCCCTTCTGCATCAACAACATCACTGGTGTCCATGGCTTCAGAGACTGCTTCAGATAAAAATCCTATTACATATGATTGGGTAAGATTTCTAAGGGGACGACTGTCAAAATATTTTTTAAGAATTTTAATCGCAATGAGGCTGACAAAGGAAGTTCAATAATATGCAATTCAGTCATCAAAGTTTTAAAAATCACATTTGTGAACTAATATTTTGCTTTTTTTTCAAAAGGAAACATTTTTTTTTTCCCTATCTTATCCACGTATGCAATTGTCTGTCTGTGTACCTACCTTTTTTTAAAATATCCCATTTTAGTTAAATCACTGACACATAAGACACACATTTTAATTAATTTTTTTTTCAAAAGGCACTGAATTGTTTTCTGGAAGTTTCAATTGGCTTTATATAAGTCGTCAATACTTGGATCTTATGAAACAAATGTCTTGCATATAATAATATCTCAAACCTTTATTTATACAATTTCAGGCTGAACCTTTTATGAAAGACTACATAGCAGGTGTTCTAGAAAACAGTGGCAAGTTTGTAATCATGAATGCAATTGTGGAAGAGTGTCTGGCAGTTGGAGACAAGGTCCTTATATTTAGGTATGCCATTAGAGTTAATAGGTGATGATTTAAAAAAAAAATATTTAAAAAATTTTTTTTTATGTAAAACCACAAAATCCAGTTTTATTTATGTAAGAGAAAAACAATAAATCTTGGGTAGTTTCATAAATAAAAAATTGTGTGACTTGTTACTTAAAATTAAAAGAAGCATTGAAATGTTAATCGAATATGCACTAATTTCATTCTTCCATTTCGTCGATTCCAATATGGTTTTTTAATGTTGTCAAAAATCATTGTAAGATGCGTGTCAGATATCTTTCATTATTATTTCATCTAGCCAAAGTTTGCTCACTCTGAACAAAATTGAAGAGTTTATGGGAAAACTCAAGGTTCCAAGAATGGAGATTAATGAAAACTGGCAGCGCAACAGAACATATTTCCGTAAGCAAATATACATTTTCAATATTTATTTGTTTGTTTAGTTTTAGTTAATCATGACAGAAAATTCTTTAAATATTTATTCCAGCAACACCAGTTTTTCAATCCTAATAAATTCAATTTCTTGAAATTGAAATTTATTAAAAATGGATAAATATGATAATGTTGAAAAATATGAATCCATTAAAAAAAAAACTTTGTTGAAAATGTGACATGTTTTAAATATGTTTTACAGGACTTGATGGAAGTACTTCAGCTCAAGATAGAGAAAAATTAATTAACCAGTTTAATGACCCTGAAAGTAACATATGGGTTTTCTTATTGTCCACAAAGTAAGCATTAATTTTTATAAAAAACAGCTAAAAGCTCATCGCTTTTTATTTTTGTCATTCTGGATTTTACAATATTTTACTGGTATATATCAGCATGTTGTGTTATGCCTAACTTGGCAGAGATGGACTAGCATGTTTTATATAGCAGGATTGTGTTATTTTAAATTTTGTCAGCATACTTAGCTCTACCTGGGGGTTATAATTTGCTTGGTACCAGTCCCAAAATATTAAGTTTTGACTTCCAAATCTGAGTAGTTTTTACTGAGCAAGTAATACATCGTTTTTGAGGGTTTATTTTTATCTGATTTTTTAAAAACAAAAGTCTTCATTTGTTTACAGAGCCGGTTGTTTGGGAATTAATCTCATTGCTGCCAACCGTGTCATAGTTGTTGATGCCTCCTGGAACCCCTGTCATGATTGTCAAGCTATATGTCGTGTATATCGGTTTGGTCAGATTAAAAATTCCTATGTGTACAGGCTTATCACAGACAATACACTAGAAAAGAAAATTTATGACAGACAAATAAATAAGCAAGGAATGTCTGGTAAGTCGCCAGTTCAGAAATTTCGACTGATCATTTCTTGTGGCTAATTTATGTTTTCATGCCAACAATGTAAATTTAATTAATTTTAACCACATTTGATTTAAAAACTTGATGTTTCTTTGTTTAAAATAGTGATTTTTAATTATTTTTTTTAAAAATCTGTTTACAGATCGAATAGTTGATGATATGAATCCAGAAAATAAACTGACTCGTAGACAGGTGGAGAATCTCCTGGATTTTGAGGTATGAGAAAGAAAAAAAAATGTATACAACTAAAAGACAGTATTTAAATATTGTTTTGGCATACACCTAATTTTTTTTTCTCTCACATTAAGGGGTTAGGCGCCCGAAAATATCTAAAATTTTCAAAAATTGTCCATTTTTTTATTTTTTCATTTTTACGTAGATAAACATTATTAGAATCGATTACATATCAATTGATACTACTTTTTAAAAGATTTGTTGTGAAACAACTGATATTTAACACCCCTCCCCACTCTAAAAATTGACCTAATTTTGGAAATAAAATAAAATTCATACATATCCCATGTTTGAGACCTCAAAAAACTAGTTTTAAATAACATAATATGCTATTATTATATATCAACGTAAAGGTAAATTCAAGCAGTTTTTTTTATTTTTAGAATCGAAGTCAGTAAATATAATTGCTACAAATAATCGGATCCACAAGCGAAGTGTGTGTAGGATTTTCTTCACTTCTATTTATATAATTATTTTACCGATTTTCATTGGTCCGAACCGAGGGTAACCAAGATACCGTTGACTCGCGCATGCGCAAATGCGTTGTTTATGCGTGTTTACCGGATCATGGTTCTGTGTACAGAACGAAAGCATCAGCATATTTTGATTTTAAAATACACGTTTACAACCTTACCCATTCGGTAAAAGCCAGAAATTCAAGGTAAGTATACTAAAAAAATGACCTTAATTTAGCAACATGCAATCGGTGATAGTTGAAATTATTCAGTTCGGACGTCAGTACTGTCACTGTGTTGCCTTGATGATTGATCGTGCGTGTGGATTGTTTGTGAGTTTATGTTTGTTTAGCTTATGCCTTATGCGGAGAATTACATACGTTTCTACTATTAGTCTTTATATTTACCAATCAAGTGAATTGTTACATTATATGAATCCTAAGCCTATTTATTTATAGTTGTCTAACAAAACAACATTGATAAATAATCGAGTAGTTCAAAGTAATAGCATAGGCTAAGACTAAGGCTAGGACTAAAACAACAATGTAACAACGCAATATGCCGTAATACTACTATAATTATGGCATGGTATTAGCATTGGCAGTATGGGGAAAATAATTCGTATTAGAATCTTTTAACTCAAATAGTTTAATCTTAGCCTTATTCATTTTTTTTATCTGCATACAATTATTAATAGTAATAGCTAATTAGTTTTATATTATTTCTTATTTATAAGATCAGTTCAATTGACTAATAATAGTAATTATAATAAAATAAGTATTTAGTTTAGCAATCCTAAACATCTAAATAATACTAATAGGCTTATTGAGATCATTTTCAATATATTATTTGCTAAATAATGTTTATATAATTTTTTAATTCCATTCCAGCCCCCAATTAGTTCTACCGAGCCGAGCAAAAGTTAATTCTTCAGTGACAAGAATTCTACAGAGGGACTGTTAAACATTGATTTGAAATGATCATAATTCAAAGCTTTTACCAATTTTCTTCTGTCTGCAGTGGAATGGACGAATTGCAGAAGCCATAACTTACAGCTGATTGCAAAACAAAATAGTAAATACTATGAACATAACAATGACTAGATTGTGAGTGGTTAGATTGTTCATATCAACAACTGGATAACCAAGTCATTATCAATTATAGACTCTAAGGCCTGAAGGACAATGGCATGGACTATGAAAAGTTGCAATCTATGATATCTGCGATAAACAATCCAGCTGCACCGCAAAATTTATAACCTGCGCAAAGTATAAAAACTGCGCTATGCCGAAGACATGAAACATTTATGAGCAAGTATCTTCCCAATTATTACATTTCTAATAGACAAATAACTCATTCACCTCTGGTATGAGGGACATCTTTGATGAAAGAAGTACACAGAATAGGTACAAAAGTTTCAACATAGCATTGCTGCCATGAAACTATGCTTCAATTTCAGTGATGGTGACAGCAACATAACCTTGTCATCTAAGCATGGTTAAAAGGATCATGGACAAAAGGGTTGATTGGGGACTTTGGATAACTTGTGTTATATTATAATGCTGAACAAAAAATTCTAATACAACACAAATTAGCTTTATTCCAGAGGAAAAAAATTTTTTGTTTAAAATTGTGATTTTGACGAGAGCACCTGATGAAGTTCAAGAAGTTAAAACCCATGTTCCTGGTGCATTCAACAGTTCAATAATATAAGAAACCACCATGTCCATGTTGCTGAACAAAAAAAACTATGTAAAAGAACTTCATTTTCATATTAAACTTAAAATTTTTCACTTTTAAAGTTTAAAATTGATTTTTCTCAAAATTGTTTTTTTCTGTTGTTTTGTAACGTAGAATTCTAAAATCTCAGCTAATATACAAGCTAGAGTAATAAAATTTGGTGTGTATCTTCCTTTAACTATTTTGTGGGTAATGAGCTATTCAAAAATCAATTTGGTCAATTACTTTTGTTAAAATAATTTTTTTCATATCCTAGGATGGTAAATTTTAAGCGTTTTCTGCCGAGGCAAATTTTAAAAATTAAAAAAAAAATGTTTTGAAAAGTTTTAAGGAAATTAAACTAGCTCAGTACCTCTAAATATAATTGAAGTTCATGAATCAATCAATTTTTAAGCAATATGTATGTTTGTTTTTAAAATTTTAGAACTCTACGAATGGGTATTATTTTCAAGATGGCCGCCGTTGCCATGGCAACTATATAATTTTTTTTTATTTTAAAGCATGAAAATATATCTCCATTCATAGCTTAACATGACCATAATAAAATAATTGCTCTAAGTTGGTTAATTAAAAAAAAAAATTTTTTGGTAGCCTGCCCCCTTAAAGCTTGACATCTTAATCTTGGCATTATTTAAAATATGGCTTCAATTGATACCCATAGGATTTACAGTAAGCAATAGAATACTATTATTTCTTAGTGTACAGTTTTTTATTTTAAGTAAATTTAAAAGGAGTCACCCTTTTTGTTTCAATCTTTGATGGAGTTTTTGTTCAAGGCTTAAATTGGTATTTATAAATTAACAGGATCAAGAGTTCCCAATGATTGATTTCACAACTGCTGATGGGAAATATGGACATGATCAAGTTATGGTGAATGTGTTGAAAACTTATGGACAGTGGCTAACTAAGGTATTTGTTTAGTTTTATTTCCTTTGCTGTAATTAGTCCAAAATATTTTATTTAAATACCTTCCATTCTTTAAATAAATTTTGAGTGTCCTTAAATTTTACAGGTTTTTATCAGCATTTCATTCTTTTCTGTACATTTTAAGTCCCTGTTTAAGACTTGCACCATCAATGCCTATTCTGAAATTATATTACTCAGTTCACTAACTTTGGGCATTTAACCTACTTGAGTACCTACCAACGTCCAGTGAAACTAACATGTATCTTCGCTATAATTAATATTTTCTTAATTTAATTATCTTCTTTTAAATTCAGCAACCTTTCACCCACGAGTCGTTGCTGATTGACCGCAAAGAGCTGCGACTTTCAAAACGGGAGAAAAGATTGGCCAAGGAAGGTTATGCCAGAGACAAAAGGATGAATGTAACATATACGCGGCCTTCATATGCTGCTTACTACCCACAGCCTGGTGGGCTGCCCAGCAGACTTCCTCTCAATAGTAGATACAAGTGAGTTTTCATTTTGTTTCTATGCAAGCTTTTCAAACCAACTTTTGGGGTGAGAGTGGAACATTTGGTAGATAAAACATGTCTTTTCATGACTACATTATCATTTATGCAATAACTATTAAAATCAAACAAGTTAAAATATGATAATAGGGATAATATACAAAGTTATTAACAGTTATTTTTAATAATTGTTTTTAACTACTTGTTATCATACTGGTAATGCATATAAGAATTGAAAATGGCAAAAAGTTTGGTTGGTTTTTTTTGTTATTTATTTCACAGCAGGAAGATTCTAAAATTGTATGCTCCAAAGGTCTTCATTACATGACTACTGTATTATAATATTTTTATTTCATCTGAAGGAAATAGCGAAACAAAGTATTGGAAAACCTGAAAAAAAGCACACTTCAATCGAAGCAACTAACGTGTAAAGAAGCCTTCATCAGCCAAAAATCAATTGTAAAAACAATATAAAAAGTATAATAAACTCTTAGCTGCAATGTAGTTTACGAGAGGACTGCAAGAGCATTCCTCTTGCTGTCCTCTCTGTCCTCATTGCAGCTAAGTGTTAATTATATATAAAAAAAATTTTTTACTGTTGTTTTTTGCTGAAGAAGGCTTTTTGCTGACACGTAGCATCCTTTTTTTCAGGTTTTCCCATATGTAGTTCTCCTATATCTTTCTAACTAACCTAATTGTAGTTTCTCCCTTTAATTATCATATTATTTCATCTGAATTTGGTCAGATATGCACTTAGGATATTTGTTTTGTATGAGGACTTAGGCATCAAAAGTTTCTTTCTTTAACTAACTGATTAAACTTTTTGTAACTCAGTTATGCTGCATTCCGTCGTGGGCCAATTGTACGCCCTATAGCAAGTGTTCGTCCTATGATAGCTGCTAACGTCCAGAATGGGGGAGAGAAGATTAAACAGTTTGGAGGCCAGCCTTTAAGACCTGGCGTCACAATTCATCAAGTCATCACTACTACAGGTTTGTCATGTTTTTTCCAAAAACGCAGATGTCCTGAATTTTATGGCCAAAGCAAATTAAGCGCATGATTTTTCTATCTCAAATAAAGGAAGAGCACATCCACTCCATCTACACAAGAATGAATCAAAAATAAATCCCTCTAGTCTGCATACACTTAATTAGGTTAAATGCAATTTTTGATCTTAATCATAAAATATGCCCCCTTTTAGCGATTCATGACAGCCACTTGGAAAATCCCTGTTATCGGTCTATTATTTAAAGAAAGTATTATAAGTCATAAATGAAATTTCATTTTTATTATATGACAATTTCTTTGTTTCTCAGACAGTTATATAATAATTAATTTTAAAATCTTATTTATATTGTGTATTTATTTCCTTCAGAAATTGTATTACCTGGTACAAATACTGGCACCCAAGCAGGGGCTTCAGCCACTAACAAAATTGGAGCAGGTGAAAAAATACTTGTCATTAAAACTCCAAAAGGGGTTTACATTAGAACCAATGATGGGAAGATGTTTGCTGTCAGATCCAAGACTGGAGCAGGCCTGACAGACATTGGTGGAACCTCAGGAACAACAACCACCACAGCAACAACAACATTTACATCAGCTGGGGGAAACCAAGGTAAAGGAGGTGTCCATTCATCAATAAGAAGTATACCCCACTAAATTTGGTTGCTGAATTTTTCTTCTCATTATTATAAATAAATTACTATTTTTAAAAATGGTTTGGTGATTCCATAATCAAAATAAATATTTGCACATTTAAAGATTAATAATAATATCAAACTAATGTGGATTAGATATTTGAACCTTTATAATTTAATATGACTTTACTTATAGCATGGATCATTTTATTATTTTTTTTAACTTGTAAAGTATGAAAAATTGTAAGTAAATTAAGAGTTGATTATAATTTAATATAGTTGGCACTGGTTAAAGTATCCAGGACTGTGATTACATTTGGTCTTTATCAAAAGAAAAAAAATCCTCTTGGTTTCAGTGTTCATCACTCCAAGTATCAATGTTGGCCCAGGCAAGAAGCCGCCAATTATCATTGTTAGCAACAAGAAGGGAATGCCCATTACCATGACAAGGGGTGGCAGCATTATTAGAACACTCCCCTATGGAAGCTCAACACTCCTCAACTCACTGAAGCCCTCCATACTCAGAACAGGTGAGGGGTATCAAAGGGTTTTTGTAATAAAATTCTAATGTTGATGACTGCGACATAACTTATTGGAAAACGCCTTTAAGGGGAGGTGTGGGTGAAAAATCTAAAAAAAAATTGTTTGGCTTCATATAGGATTTTTTTTACCTACACCTTATTTGGTATTCCAATGGAGGTACAAAACAGGTTTTAACAAAAAAAAATTTCCATTGGTTGCCTTTGTAGCCCATAAAAACCTCCGCCATTTTTATTTTTTTAGTATTTTTTAAAACACTAAGGCTTTTACAAATATTAAGTTATTGCTATCAGATTTTAAACATAGATTATTTATCCTATAATAAAAATTTGTATAACAGGACTTTTTGATGCAATGACTGGTTATAAATATACAGGGTCAGAAATTGTGACCCCATTTTTTATGCAAAAAATAGGGGTGTGGGTGAATTCTTTTTTACATATTTTCTTTTCTAAGTTAGTTATCTTAATTCTAGGTTATTCAAATGTTTATTATTGGTCAATGAACACACTGTAAAAATTTGGTGAGGTTTGGATAATAAATAAAAAAGTTATAGGGATATTGGTGACCAAAAATATTGAAAACGAGAAAACTGAAATAACGAAGAAAAACGACAAAAACAATGAAAATATCAATGAAAAAATGCGAATCTTATACCAAGATTGGAATAAAAACTTTTTATTAGCCTATTGTGGGCATTTTTAATCCTTTTCCAGGTCCTTTTTTCCTGACGACTCAACTTTTTGCTGTGATTGATGTATTTTTATCTATTATTCTGTTTTTGTCGAAAAAATAATAATTCGTTTATTTTGGAGAATTTTAGCATTATAAAAGTGTGCAAAACCATAAAATTCAGCTATGTAAATATGCAATTCCAAAGAATTATTTGGCATTGTCCATGTATGCTGAAAATGCAACTCTTGGTCTTGTAAAAAAAAATTGTAAGTTCTATGAGTTCTAATGACAGAATGAATATAGACAGTTGTAAATTTTCTGATTTCTATCTCATAAATTTTGAATCACTTGAGTTGCAACATGTATTTTTCCCAAAAGCATATAAACAGTTTTTTGTGTGAGCCAGAAAACTCATGAGCAATAACTCCATTGTAAAATCTAATTAGTTACTGTATAAAATTTTGACACCAGTCAATAATGTTGAAAATGACATCGCATAGAGATACAATGTTGAAATAAGGTAATTATTGATATGTTCCTTTCAACTACTGTCATATTCTTTTTATCCTTGAATACCACATTTTGAGTTTTGTGATGTAATCTATGTTAGTCTTCTCTAGCTTCCTCTGCCTGAGGTTACTTTTAGTTCGACGCATCGAACATATGTTGCGACAAAGAATCTGTAACATTTGGAACACATACTTAGAGCACTCATTCTTTTTCATGTGCAAACTGTCCTTTGGGCAAAATGGACCTAGGCACAACAGATCAGGAAATATAATGCACGTTGTGGTTTGTTGTGTTCCGCAAACTCATTGTGCGTCGCCTCAATCATTCCTGAAAACAATCAACTTGTAGTTAGATATTTTTATTAAATGCTTCTCAACAAAAATATAAGTCTATAATGACATTAATGACTGATAGGTCATACTTGTTGACACATATTTAAAGCAAAATTTATTAGGGCTCTTACTTTACCTTAGAATAAAATAACATTAATGACAATGTCATTTGTGATGCGATTAAAAAAAAATGAAAAATTTACTACATTTAATATTACCATTTTAATAGCTGAAAATATAATACAGTGTAGGGCAAATGTCACAATTACTAAATTCATAAATTTTTATAAGTTTTATTTTACTACAGTTCACTATCACTAAAATAACAGTGTTTATTACTATAACTAATACACTAAATAAAAAAGAATAAGTGTAAGTATAGCCTTCATTCTCAATGGTCTATAGTGAGTACAGTATATCGTACTTTAAATTTTAATCTAAGTGAAAAATAGATTTTATCTTTAAGACTTACCAAGGCATGGTATTTTTCTAGGTTTTTCCTGCTAGTGAAGTAGCGTAGCGATGCTTGTACTTGAAGCGACTAGCACTAGGCCACTAGGGTGACGACTAGGAGTAGGCTTAGTCTTAGTAGTTTAGAGTACTCAGTCTTAGTCTTCTCCGAAAAGGAGAAGCATTAGTCGTGTTTATCATGGCACTTAATCAAAGCCAACTTATTTTTTTTTTGGTTATTTACTTATTTAGTTGTTTTTTAATTCCTCAAATGTTTTTATTACCGACAAATTACATATCGAAATTGCTAGGCCTCACGAAATTAGATACGGTTTGTTTATACCGGAAGTGAACTTTGCAAACAGATTTCCTACACAGGAACCAATCAAAAGGCTTATTTTTTTCAAAGGTCAGGGCTAGATCACATGATACACGAAGTAGGACAGGAAAATACCAAATTTTGCTAGACATTACCGGCGATCGAAAGGTTCGGTTGCTTTTGTAATTTTCTTTGTGACAGAAAGCTATATTTATCTTGTTCCGGAAATCACCATCTTTCCAACCATACCAAATAAATCGGGATTGGACGATTTCAAATACTCATAATAAAGGGGTAAAAACACTAAGGCAATTTTGACATTTTTTATGGTAGAAAGGGTCAGGAAATGTGTAATTTATTATATTTTCTAAATTACTTTTGTAAAAACAAATATAAAAATTCAATAAAGAAATGGTTAATAAAACCAAATAAACAATAATAAAAAATTATTCAAAATTTGCCGTTTTTCAATTTCTCACCCGCACCTCTCCTTAAGAAAATTTGGCTACATGTGAATGTAAAAAAAAATTGACTTCCACTGGAGGTTTGGTAGTTCTGTAATAGTTTTCATTATCTCGAAGTAACTAGCAATGACATGGAAGTCAGTACCTTCCCAACAAATACTATTCAATCTTTTACAGGCATTGCTAAATCTGCAGATGGGACATCATTAACCACTGCTACTTCTATTAAATCATCAGATGCATCCACTTCCTCTGGAGAGAAGATAACCTCGCTTGCTGACCTCATTGCCAGTGATGATGAGGACAGCAAAGATAAAGAAAGTGGTGGCAAGCAAATGAGCGATGGCTCCACACAAGCTGAAACTACGCCCCCTAAAAGGCCGGTTATAGTCCTACCGTCTCTGGCAGTGAGAACCCCTCGTCCGCCATCGAGCATCCAGTCGTCCACCATAGCGACCACATCCCCAGGTGGAGGCACGGTGGTCATCATGCCGACCAAACCGGTCATTTCGATGGGGACAAAAAGAGCACCCAAAAATCCTCGCCCCAGAAAACCAGCCAAGGGTAAGGGCATCACGACAACTGCCAACACCTCTGCAGGCACCAGTCTGACAGAAATTAGGGTCGGCCCGGCAACAAAAAAAGGTGTGAGTCTGTTGACGAATATTAATGTTGCCGCCACAACTAGCACGTCCTCACTGAATGCTTCTGGAAGCATCACTTCTACTTCATCAGCGTCAACGGGCCGTGACTCTCCTTTGAGTAAGTTATTATCAGATGACTTTTTTTTATTGTGCAACTGGCTTTGATTTGTTTACATAATGTTAGGTGGTCAGCTCTTGTTACCCATGGAGTGGCAACTTTCCTTGTAGATCAAGAATCCAAAGTATGAGACTTTTAAAGTTTAAAGTCATAGACTACTATAAAAAATTTCAAGAGATTAAAAATGATATAGAAGCAATCTTTTGGAAGATAAGCAAGATTAATGTCAACTAGTTATTTGTAGGAAGTAATTATTAATTATTTTTTAAATTTATTAAATAAATGTTATTTTGAGTTAAAAATTATGAGAACTTTTTAAGATAGCCCTTATTCAAAGAACTACTGTAATATTGTTTTCAAATTGGTTTAATTTATCCATTATTGCCATCTTGTATCCACAGGTAAAACAGTGACACAAGTTCAGATACCTGCAACCAGTTCTGGACCTGTGACTTCGAACACTCAAACAAACATTGACACAGCAGGAAAAATCCAACAGTCCCCACAACAACAGCAGTCAGCATTCCCTGACCTTAACAGCATGTGGCAGAGCAACTTTGGGTCTGGGCCTCCCAGTGCTTCACATCCATCTCAGAGTGGGGCACACCAGTCCCAGGGTGGAGCTCATCCACCGCAGGGAGGATCACAGGCTGCATCCTCAACACCATCTGGAATGGGTACAAACATTAGTAACAGCAACAGCTACAGCGGCGGTATGATGATGTCCAACCCCAGCCTGGGTGGGATGGGTGCTGTGCAGGACAACAGCAATGATGACAGCAGCTCGAGTAGTGCTAATCAGAACCTCATGACTGGGGGCAGCCATTCTCAAAATCAGATAGGAAGCTTTGGAAACCAACACATTTCTGGAAGCCAAGGGTATAACAATATGAGCAACCCCTACATCCAAGGAAGTATGGGCCCCTATGGTATGGGACACTCGCAAATGGTAGGCCAGAGCCACATGCCACCATACATGTCAGGCATGCACACAGGTTTCATGCCCTCACCCCCAGGTTCATTCAGTCAAAGTTTGCCCCCTCCTCCAGACCAAATGCAGAACCAGCAACATCAGGGGGGAAGCAACATGATGTATGGATCTACAGGAAATCCATCCCAGTTTGGCCCCTCGTACGGCCACAATCAGCAAAACCCTCCACCATTTGGAAGCACTGCAAGCGGAAACAGCTTCCATAGTCCTACTAACAGTTCGTTTGGATTTAATTCTGATATGGGTGGCATGAACTATGGAGCCCCAACCACTTCATCTTCATTCATGCCCAACCCTCAAGGAGATCAAGGCTATCCTCAGTCTCAGACAAATATGCCCTCAAATTATCACCACCCCACTAGTCCTCCATATGGCAGAGAGAGTTCTGGGGATAACTTCTCATCTCAAAGTCAACCTCAGCAGAACCCCATGTCCTCGACATCATCATCTCAGAACCCATCAAGTTTTCAAGACCCAGGACTCAGCAGAAATGCCAGAGACGACAGTCCATTTTCTCTCACTTTATTAGGATCTGACACAAGCACCTCAACTCCCAGTAAATCAAACAGCAAATCATCCCAGCGCACCAAATCTACCTCAAAGAAAAGTAAAAGCACTGCTGCAGCCCCACGAACAAACAGCCCAAGCGTTACTAAGCCTCAAGCCAGCAGCAATAAACCGCGGGGCACTAACAAGACACCTTCCCCGGCGCCCAGTCCTCGTCACACAACTCACACCCCAGACACCAGTAAAAGCTTCATGGACATTTCCAACAGCCGGCCCAATAACAATACTCACAGCAACAGTAGCACCACCAACTCCCAGAGCTACTCGAGTGGGGGTGGCCCGGATGTTGACAGTTTGAGCAGCAGCCTCAACTTCCCGAACTACGATTCTGGCCCTGGCTTAAGCAGTGGATTTAGCAGCTACTGTGGTCCTAACATGTCATCTGGTTTGTTGGGCCACTCCCTGGGCAGTGACATTGGCATGGGAGGAAGTGCATTCAGAGCCCACCAAAGCCCTGCAAACCCTCAGCCATTCAGATTGGATGGTGCTGGTGGAATCAGTGGGATGGGTAACACTGGCCTCAATTACAACAGTGGCATGAGTGCATTCAGCAGCCCCAGTGGGCTGGGGGCTGCTGGAGGATACAGCAATCCATCTACATTCGGGGGATTCGGGACAGGCTACAGTGGTAGTTCCTCATTACCGTTCTCATCATCGCCCATCATGCCGCCTCCACCCCAGAGCATGATGGGATACTCCCAACCCCCACTTGGCTATCCGAGTATGTCCCCATTGATGATGGGGGGCCCGGCACCACCGGCTCCAGCATCTATGGGCGGGTCCATGTGGCCCATAATGCCATCATCCATGATGGGGGGTAGCTATGGGTACCCACCCCACCCATCAAGTATGGGGTTTCCCAGTGGTCTTGACAGCCAAGGGTTTGGACATCTAGGGCCAGGACCTAACAATTAAAGGTTCAACCTTGACCTGGAGTCATGACCAATATCTCGAATATCTGATGGTATTAAAGAGAAATATAACCTGAAAGACTACAATAAAATCAAGGGTCCTGATTTTGTTTAATGAAGTAATCATTTTTCTAATAAAAAACGTGGTCCTTGGAGAAAACTGATTCTGTTTAAAAAAAAAGTATTGCCATCCTGAGAATTTCATGGTTTTCTTCAAGAAGTAACCTCTATGCAGCTTATTTCTCTAAGTGGAACAGCCAAGGATATGAGGTTTGTTTCTGATACAGATGTGTGTTTTTTTTCTTTTCAAAATGGATTATCAAGACCAGTTCATCACAAACAATGTGGTGCGCAAGAGTTGCCACATGTGAGCTGGCCTTCTCCAGTGAGAAAAGTAAGCCATTGTTACGTGTTAGACCGTTGTTGGATGTGATTCTCCACTGACCAGCTGGCCCACCGGGTATATATATATATGACTGCTGAAATCCTTCAGCTCCACCTCAACACTAACAATGTCCCTGTGTTGTGAATTTTTAACAATTTTACAGAGGAAGTTAAATATCAATGCATATAGAAAGTACTATCAAAATGATATAAGTGGTTCTCTTTTTATAACATGTTGTGAGGAATTCTTCTACATGCATTTTTGTATCAATGCTCATCTTGATCATTTTCAGAGTAAATACTGTATTTTTCCAATATTATAAGGTCACTACTGATTTTCAGCTTAACCCTTTTAAATTTTGTGGGGTTTTTTGTTTTTTTTAAATTTAAATGTTTTTAAAAAGTTTGCCTTTTTTATATTTTGGACCAACATCCTGATTGCAGGCCGCGCCCCTAGTTTAAAAACTTACGTTAGGGGAGAAAAGAGCGGCTTAGTCTGGGAATAATACTGTATTACTTTGCTCATGTTTTCTTTAGCTAAAATTTATTTTAAAACTACTTTATTACTTTCTTTTAAATGTACCTTATGCGTTATAGTGTAAAGATTCTATTTTTTCCAGTGATTTTATAGTGGCTGTTTTTTTGAATGACATAAAAAGAGCTTTTTGGTAATAAAATTACAAATTTTGAATAATTACATTGTGTGATGTATTCCTTGCCAACAGTCTGAGAGTTAAGTTTTGTAAAATTTCTTAAGAAACTTAACATCCTATTAATATGGTGAAGCATTAAAAGTTTGTCATTTTAAAGAATAATTGTGCTTTAATGAATCTCTTTTCATCTAGCTCTTGTTTCTAGTCTTCACTAATGGTTTTTAATAACACGAAGTTGGTCTGAGACTTCTTGAATGTGGTAGGAAAAATGAAGAGACTTTTCCTTAAAGACAGAAATTAATGGAACAAGTTATGGAGATCTTGCCAAACTTTCTTTATCATCGAGCTTGTCCTTTTATAAACTAACTTCTATATAATTTTTTTTCTTGAGTTTTATTTATTCGTTTCTGAGAATATATTGTGTATAGTTTCCAAACATTTGTTAGACTAGGTCAGTATGTGTTTAAGCTATCTGTAAAATCCTGTAATATCTTAGGCCAAGTTATGAAATAAACTATGAAAGTTAAAGTTCTGTTTATCTAGTCCAGTGGTCCCCAAATGGTGGTCCGTGGACCTTCACCGGTCCACATGCATAAAGCTGCCGGTCCCCATAACATAAATATTTATTGTCAAATAGAAATAAAAGTTTAAAAATAAATCGTGCACCGGTCCCTCACAAAATTTTGAAACTTGTTTACCGGTCCGCCAAACTTAAACGTTTGGGAACCACTGATCTAGTCGGTTACCATATCATTGTCAGGAAAATATTTTTGCTTATGCTTCACAATCTTGGTTTACTTAAGACATTTATTTGATTTATTATCCCAATTTCGATTGTTTCTATCAACTAAAGAAGCTAATGCCTCTGAATGGAAATTTAGTCGTGCTGTACTTTTTATGAATTAGAGTAGCAAGGAAATTTCTCTGTTAATTCCTCTTTTTTTTTTTTTTTTTTTTTTTTTTTTTTTTTTTTTTTTTTTTTTATTTTTTTTTTATTTTTTTTTTTTTATTTTGTTTTTTTTTTTTTTTTTTTTTTTTTTTTTTTTTTTTTTTTTTTTTTTTTTTTTTTTTTTTTTTTTTTTTTTTTTTTTTTTTTTAAATTTTTACTAGTTATAGATAATTTCTTTAAAAATTAATTTTGTGATAAATCCAGTTTGAAATTAATTTAAATAGATGATAAAGAGTAGCTTTGAGTAATAATTTTTGTTTTAGTTCTAACATAAACCCATGCCAATAGTAAAATTATCTTCTGCATCATAAAGCTCGTTGCTTTCTTTTAGATGAACTAAAGATTTGCATTGCTTCAAATGGCTACATTAAAGCTTAACATGAGGTCTCTGCCAGTAGAACCTTTTCTGGCAAGTAACAACTGCATGCAGGTCAGTTGCATATCTTTGAAGTCAGGTACCATAGTATAGTTTTACTAGTCTTGACTAACTTTGGCTGTAAATGTGCCCAAATTTAAACTATTGAAAACCAAATGGTAACAATTGAAGACACTAGTGCTAAAAGCAATTAAGTCACATTTTTGTCAAGATCAATCTAAACTGTGACCTTTTCTTAGGTTTAGTTTACTGCATAAAATTGAACTCATTAATATGTATCCAATCTCTTATTTAAACAAGTCAAAATAAGAATGATCAAATTTTATAGACAAAAATAATATTTGAACTGGATTTTCTCAAAATGGTTATTTTTATTACTTAAATATTCTTAGCAATTAGGTCTTCAATTATTGTCTATGCTGGGCAAAATTGATTTTATTTCACAATGCTGGTCTGGCTTCATCAAGATTTTATTCATTTATAATTTCATGTCTTCAAAAGAAACATTGCCATAATTGCTTCATGAAATTAAAACTATACTTCCTGCAAACCAATTATGAATTATAGTTAATATCCTTAAAAATAATAATAATTTTAGTACAAGTACATTCACCTTTAATAAGCATCCAAACTGAAACTTTTGTCATGTCTTGTCGTGCCCTTGTTTTTTCTTTCTGTTCTGTCACTTATTCTTTTTATCCACCTTTCTATTTGTCTTTAAGTCAAAATGTTAATCTGCTTCTGACGGAGGAGAGACATTCTGCAAACACTTCATCTGTTCCTTGCTTCTTTCTTGGTAAACAGCTTTTTTTTAATCTTCACTCTCAACAATGGCCTAATGAGGATTTGTAAATTTTAGAATTTAACATGCATGAGAAAGTACTCTCACAATTTTTTTTTCAAGGCTCTTGTGTCACTCACTCTAAAAATATATATTTCACAATTAAAAAATTGTTTCAAATAAGCACCAGTTTTTTTTAATACTTATCTCAATGCCTTCAAATCTAGTCATGTTATGTCATAGGATCTTGTCCACTCATGCTACACATTGTGTAATGGCAGATATTTATAACATTATTTATGTTTACTGTCTGTTAATTTGTCATATAAATGTTTGTTACAAAAAAAAAATTAATATTTAGTAATTGTTCTGAATATGTAAAATGGCTAATGTTTCTTATTAATAAATAGCAGTGTTGTTTTATTTTTATATGGAATACTCATGCTGTAATGATGTTAAGTAATATTTACCAGAGGAATAGACAAAAACTATGCTATGCTATTTTTGTTGACAATTAACTTTCTAGACATGTAAGCAGTAATATTCCAATTGCAAGGAACAAGAGAAAACATAGTGTAGCTGTAACTCTCTAGATGCTAAGCCAGATTTTTGTCAAAAATATGTTTCAAATTTATTAAAATCTAGTGTTGCCCCCAATGTCCTGTACAAAAAAAATTTTTTTTGAAATTCTTCTGATGCAATTTACATAAATTTTTTGTCACCATGGTCCAACAAAATTCTTTAAAAGTTCATTTTAAAGTTATTAGGTTTTTAGATTCGTCAGTAAAATTATTAAAAACTAGAGAATTTAGAGACTTAAGCTACAATAAGCTTTTTCTTCACACACCTTTCTTTTATCAGCATTTAATTTTTTAATGTTCAGTTTTTATATGATCATCAAACCAGCTACCAAAAAAAACAATATTGGTGTAAAAAAAACAACTCTTAATGCAGGCCAACATAACTGATTCTTAATCTTATGATTTTCTTATGGGGTACCACTCCATACATGTGGGACACATGGTTCTATAAGAGCTAAGGAGTTAAATTTCAGTTCTGAATTTCAGAATTCAACTTAATAATGTCATAATCATATAGTTCATGTGAGGAAAAAAAGAGGGCATGTTTGGTTAACAAAACGGTTATTTTGCCAAAAACTGTGTTTCATATTTTTGTAAATAGTGTGTAAATGAGCAAAAGTAAGTTTAGGGGTGCGATGTAGTTTTTAAATTTTGAAGTTATTTTCTGTTAGCATTTTTCTCAGTGTAAAGAGAACAATTCAGCAACAAGCAATGTCTGACATTGTAAATTTTGTATATAGAAAATAATACAAAATATGAATATGTAAATGCAACTTTATTTTATTTTTTTTATTTTTGTGTGCCCTTAACAAAAATACACTATAAGATCTATTAGCTTATAATAGCACTTTCAACAAATCCCAATTTAGACTCAAATTGAATTATCTCTACATGTTATTATGAAGACTTTTTTAAAGAGACATAAGTGTTTTTAATAGGGCTGAGCTGGGTACTGACCTGGGTACTTGTAAAGTGCGAGTAAAGCACACCGGGCACAAACCTGGACCAGGCAAAAAACTGAACGGGGTAACACTTTGACTTGGACCCATCTGATATTTTCCTAAAATACGCTGACAGGGTGTAAAAAAAAACTACATACAGCCAGGCCTAGTTTTCAAAGAGTTCTACGCCTAAAGTGAAGCTCAGCTTTAAATATTTATTTCCCTTCTTATCATGTTTGCATTCATAACATTACTTAAATAAGTAATGACAGCACTTGGATTATACCTTTATTGCTTGTGAATAGGAATACTTTGATATCAATTGACTACTGCACTTTT